ATGACTCCCAGAAACCATTTACCAGGCAGCTTTAAATCACAGTCAAGAGATAGGTGATGCTTCAGTAACTCAGGTATCACAGTAGAGAGAGGTAAATATGTTTTGTGTGACTGTGTGTAGGTGCTGTACTTCAGGGATTCTTCACTCCAAGGATCTAGAGATGGGCTCCATAGTCTTTGAATACCATAAAATTATAGAACATTTTCTAGGAAGAGAGTCTAAGGCCTCTGTTATATTCTTAAAAGTGTCCATGATACAAATAGCTTAAGACCAAGATGATAGATTTCTGGGCAGAGTGGGGATGGGGACTCTGTGGAACACTTTAGCAAAATATGTTCGACCCTATTATAAAATGGATGATAACTGATGGTTTAAAAATGGTTGGGGATTTTGATCTCGAATCTACTAGATGGCATTTGGCTTTAACTACTGATTAAATCTCTAGTTAAATTACCTTATTTTAACATGATCCCTAGTGTTACTGCTCTGATTTATCAGCTAGTTCTGGTCAATAGCATTTTAATGGGCAAGATCTCTCTAAATTTTTGCACACTATCGTTGCACAACAATGATTTCCAGAGCACCATAGTTAATTATTTCATAGTTGATGGACTTTTCAAGTTTTACCTAGTATTAGCAAGACCAAACCCAACATTTTGAGTTTTAAGATGATAGAAATGACAACAAAAGACATTTATCCCCCTTCTGTTTTCAAAAATCACCCTAAAATAACACGGAGAACAAGAAATGTACACAAATCCTGCCTTGCATGGACTCATAACACATGAAGGCAGAAAATGAAGGGAGGATAATTCATAACTTAGCAGAGAAGAGAAACTCAAGTGTCTTCAGAGGTGAGTGTGTGGAGGAAGGGGTATCCATAAGAAAGAATGCTACCCCCAGAACCTATTGAGACTCAGGAACTAGAGGCCTCAGATATTACAAAAATTGGATGATATGGAATGAGGGAGTGATGAAAACAGTGAGTGCCCAAGTCTCCATTTTTTGTGTAGTTGGAGAGCTACTCTTTCCCCTACCTCTGCCACAGCAGAGTATTTGCTGGAGAAACTGAATCCCGGAGTTGGGTACACAGCAAAAGCAAAGTTAGGATGAGGTGCGCACTCAAAATAAGAGGATTAAGTGAAAGCCTACATCCTCACAGGTGGGAAGCTACAGTTCTCTTTTCTTGGGATGCTGACACACGTTTACACCATTGCCAGGCAACAGATTGGAAAGTCCAGAGAAAATGAGTTTAGATGTTGACATTTGGGCATCTCCAGCAAAAGACCAGCTGGCCAAACAGTCACCCCATGGTAAGACACAACAATCTGCAGGCACCACCCACATACACCCACATACATACAGTGAGCTTTGTGATGCCTTACTCTTAAGAATGAATTGACCACCAAAGGTTATCAGACATTTCAGAGAAACCCACAAACACAGAGAAAAGAAGGAGCTCAGAGAACAAAGGCAATACGGGGAACAGCAGAAATTTTCAGATGAATTATGATCAGTATCTTCAGAAAGACAAGAAAAGATCATGCATCCATGGGAGAAGAATAGCACGCTATAGGACAAGGAGCATCAAACAAAAATTTGCTCATAAACTAAACATATTATTATGCCTGGAAAGTAAGAGGAAAGGCCTATATAGGAAATGGAAAAGAAGAGATAAGAAAATAAGGAAATCAGTACAAGAAGCCCAATATCCAACTAATTGGAGTTTCATTCAAGTAGGGCAGAAAAAAAAACTGCTGAAGAGAAAATTAGTTTTTTTTAAAAAAAGAAAAAAGATTAGAAGAACATTGTACTGAAGAAATTGATTTTCCAGATTAGGCTTAACATATGAATTGAATGGGAAAAAAAGTCCCAAACCAAAACATACCTTTGTGAAATTGCTGAACACCAGAAATTGAGAGGTGACTCTAAAAGAAAATCAAGAAACATTCAAAGTATTAGGATTGAGAATGGCATTTTGTCAAAAGCAACTTTGGAAGCTAGAATGCAATAGAGCAGGCCTTCAAAATTCTGAGTGAACATGTTTCAGCCTAGAATTGTGAGGCACGCTGAGTATGAGAATAGAATAAAGACTTTTTTCAGTCATGCAAAGCCTCAAAAACAACCAACTCCCCCAGTGTTTAAAAAAAGTAAGGCCTTTTCTCATGAAGCCCCTGCAGACGTGCTCCTGCAAAATGAGAGGGTAAACGAGGAAAAAGAATGATGTGGGCTGCAGGAGGTGGGGGACCAGACACAGGAGGGGAAGGAGGAACCCCCCTGAATGATGGCGGGGGAAGCTCCGAGGGCGGCTGGCAACAGAGGAGAGACTCCAGACCAGACAGTAGGGTTGGGCTGCAGGAAGGCGTCCTGAGGACAGAAGGATCTAGAAACAAGCTGTGACTGTTTTGACCCTCTTCAAAATTGTTTTGAGAAGGATTTTGCAGAGTTGTGTAGGGTGTAAGAAGACTTAGATGTTTCACGGAAATCCTAACTCCAGGAAACAAGAAAATGTACATTTGTAAGGAAACAATCATTGTATACTGATTGGCTCGGCAGTGAATGATGTTTATAGGATGGTAATATAGGAAAGTTCTGTGGATCACATTGGGAGTGTGAGGGGAGGGTGACCGTAAACTCACCTGCTGCTAGACGTCGGCAGTGTTCAAGGGCAGGCTCTGGCAAAAGGATGCTGGGAGCTTGCCCCCATCTGCCATGCACTAGCTGGGAGACCCATGACTTAGCCTCTCTGTGACTCAGTTTCTCATCTATAACTGGGGGCAGTAATAGTTTCTACCTAATGGGACCACAATGAAAACTACATAAGTTAAGCGGCTGTAAAGCTCTTAGAACAATGTATGGTAGGTACATAGGAAGGACAATATGAGTACTTGGTGAATAACCAAGTGCCAATAATATGTGCATGCTATATAGACATATGGTGGGAAAACTACCAATTTAGGTAAAAAAGAAAATAGAAAGTAGTTGCCTTCGGGAATCAAGAAAGGAGAAGAATGAGGGACTACTGATTTTTTATTCTAAGTCTCAGTATAATTTGAATTTTTTAAATTACTGCAGGCAATACCTTAAGCAAAATAAAATTAGAAAACCTAACAGCCAACTGCAGATTTTAAAGTGAAGGGCATATGTAAGCTTTTTTGTTTGTTTGTTTGTTTGTTTGAGATGGAGACTTGCCCTGTCGCTCAGGCTGGAGTATAGCAATGTGATCTCGGCTCACTGCAACCTCTGCCTCCCTGTTCAAGCAACTCTCCTGCCTCAGCCTCCTGAGTAGCTGGGATTACAGGTGTTTGCCACCAAGTCAGACTAATTTTTGTATTTTCAGTAGAGACAGGGTTTTGCTATGTTGGTCAGGCTGGTCTCGATCTCCTGACCTCAGGTGATCCACCCACCTCGGCCTCCCAAAGTGCTGGGATCACAGGCTTGAGCCACCATGCCCAGCCACATACGCAAGCTTTGACATGAACTATTTCATACTCCCAATTTATTAGCATTCCCATTTTGCATGCAAATGAAGTTATATGTATTTCTAAACGTAGCAGTGAACCCAAGCCTACCTTTTAAAACAAAATTGCTGCTGGGTGCGGAGGCTCACCCCTGTAATCCCAGCACTTTGGGAGGCCAATGCAAGTGGATCACCTGATGTCAGGAGTTTGAGACCAGCTAATAACCTGACTAATGTGGTGAAACCCTGTCTCTACTAAAAATACAAATATTAGCTGGGTGTGGTGGCACGTGCCTATAATCACAGCTACTCAGGAGGCTGAGGCAGGAGAATCACTTGAACCCAGGAGGCGGAGGTTGCAGTGAACCAAGATTGTGCAATTGCACTAGGTGACAGAGGGAGACTCTATCTCCTAAAATAAAATAAAATAAAATTGTCAACACAGGAACCTATTGTTCAGTTATTTCTGCAACAAAAACATAACTAATTTAAAAACAAAATTTTCATTGCCTTAAGAGAAGTGTCTTACAGGTGTGGGCCAGCGATTCTGGATTTTGGGGGGAAAACACACATGAAAAGTGAAGCAATTTGTGCCCTAACCTCCACCTTCCACTGCTCTCTGATAAAGACTTTAATAAGTAATGAAATGAGAGACTTACAAAGGAAAAGAGGGGAAGATATAAAGGCCTTCGATCAAGAAAATGCATAGGCCTACTTTCCCAGAGGTCTACTTCCTCTTCTAAACTAATGAAAGGGCCAGCAGGAACCCAAGAAGCATTGCTGCTCTTGGTTACATAATTATATCAACCTGCTTTTAAAAGAAATCACATCACAGCTGTGCATTTCACCAGCAAGCTACCACAAGATAAGAAAGAATTTCCAATAATGGATACCCCACTCGATTCTCAGTCTGGGTTGACAATCTGGTGTCCACGACACATACTGCCTTATTATCTGTATGAATTTCATCTGTCTAGCAACCTAATATGAATTAAGGTATTTACAAGATAACCTCTAGGATGTCATTGTGTAACAAGCTGAGTATGTTGAAGTCTCTCCTTTTAATATTAGAAAAAAGAAGGGCTGTGTTTTCCTTCTGCCTGCTCTCATTTGGATGGCATCTGGTGGATGTAATGTTCAGTTTTAAATTCCCTGCTCCCTCCTATTCTCCAACCTCCAACCTCCAAACCCTATGCTCGTCATTAAAATGTATAATAACAAAACAAATTTTGCCCTGGGGCTTTGCCAAACTGTCACTGTATCTGGATAGTCCAGCCTTCTCTCTAAAAAGGGAACAAAATAGTCTGAACTGTGTCCCGGTGTGGCAGCATGGGCTGCTGTGACAGCAAGCTAATTCATCACTGTGGGGACCTTGGGCTGTGCAACTGACCACCCAACTTACTGTCATCTGAGGGGTGGCAGTTAATCATCTCCTTAAACGATGTAGGTATGAAAACAGAGCTGACTGTTGCTCAGCACCTAACCTTATCCATCCTCTGTCCCCCAGCAGTGACTGTTGCCATTTTCCCCTTCTTCCCAGACCGCTGGGTTTCAAGAGATTCTGACGGAGGTGGAAATTTTAGCGGTGACTGTGGGATGCCTGTGTCATGACCTCGACCACAGGGGAACCAACAATGCCTTCCAAGCTAAGTAAGTGTTCTAACTGTTGTTATTTTAATGCATTTGCCTTTCTCTTCAGAGCCAAAGGTGACGAATGCTAAAGAGTAAAGCATTAATTTCCTGGCATCCGAGGCCAAGGCCATGCAGGCTTGGGCGTGCATGTCATGGGGCCCATCCATCTTTATAATTCCCTATTCTTCTTCTAATTGCAAATTTGCCCTTCATGTCATGCTTGTTGATTTGATCGGTCTCTGTTGACCTTAGTCAGATAACAAAGCTTGGATTTTAAAGGGCCTACTTTTTTCCTCCCAGAATATTTGCCTTTATGGCATCGTAAGCTTCTGGGACTTGGTACTCTCAAACTCTGGTTTGAGACTGTTAAAATAAAAGCAGTCTTAGGAAATTTGATGAAGCAAAATATAGTTTTCCGTTTCCATTAGAGTTCCTTCCAGGATTCTTTTGATTTTGGGTGTTGTAGAAACTGCAGTGAAATAAAGTCACATTTGAGGAACATAGTTTCTGCTTCTCCCATCCCTACTCCCATATAAAGGTGGAAGAAGCAAAGGAAATGCAAGGATGTGTGGGCAACTATTTGCCACACACAGGATGTGTATAGATAGAAAAATCTGCCCCTCCGCAGGTTTTTCTGGTGAAGATAGCTGTTACTTGGTGGCTCATACTATAGCCAAGGCCACAGAACTTATGGGTGCTAGAAATAAAACCGGGGCCAGGCGCGGTGGCTCAAGCCTGTAATCCCAGCACTTTGGGAGGCCGAGGCGGGTGGATCACGAGGTCAACAGATCGAGACCATCCTGGTCAACATGGTGAAACCCCGTCTCTACTAAAAATACAAAAAATTAGCTGGGCATGGTGGTGTGTGCCTGTAATCCCAGCTACTCAGGAGGCTGAGGCAGGAGAATTGCCTGAACCCAGGAGGCGGAGGTTGCGGTGAGCCGAGATCGCGCCATTGCACTCCAGCCTGGGTAACAAGAGCGAAACTCCGTCTCAAAAAAAAAAAAAAAAAAAAGAAAGAAAGAAAAAAAACCAAAACCCAGGTCTCCTGAATTGTATATTGAGGGTCTGCCTTCAATGTTCCTTTCACTATCTGCCTGCAAACAAAAGATACAGACTTTCAGAAGCTGGAGAGAAAAGTTCTGGGGTGGAGAAGGTAGAGAAGGCTTCGACGAAGAGGTAATATTGACTTCGGATGACTGATCTCATAGCCTCCAGAACAAGTCAGCCTCTATTATCTGACACTTTCACAGCCTGCTCTTTGTCAACAGGTTCTTTTCAGCTCACCATTTCCCCCCCCAAACATCTACCCACTGTGACTTTGGAAGTCTTGGACTCTTGTATTTACTCCTGATCTAGCAGATGAATTTCAATTTTGTGCCCTGTCTCCAATCTGTCTGTATCCTATAGCTCATCACTTCATTGCTTTCTTCTCAATATTCTGTCATTTCTTGACCAAGTCTCTGTGACATCCACTCTGCAGAAACTCAGTCCTGGTTCAATCTAACAATTCAGACTCTTGCTACTCTGCCTAGACTTGTAAAAGCTTTAGGAGAAAATGTCACAGTTGTGAGAGTTAGAGACATACCAAATATATGTTCCTCCCACTCAGCTGGACGCTAGAGCTCCCTGCCAGTCTTTCTGTGTCTCTAGCCAGCCCCATTCCCCATTGCTCTTAGCAGTTTCATATACCAAACTTCTGTCTTCCAAAACCACCTCCTGCTCCCCCGCCTCCCCCGTACCACTCAGCAGATCACCTTGCCTCCTGCTTCATGGAGAAAATTGAGGCCATCAATCGAGAACTCTCTCAATTTCCTCCCCTGCCACCTACAAACTTATCTATCCATCCCCATCCTTCCCTCCTTCCCTCCTGTCTGGGTAAGAGGACTGTCCTTCCCCCGTCCGAGGCTAATCCCTCCACCCTGCCATGGGTCCTTCCTTGCTTCTCCTTGGGGATCTTATGCCATCAATCTTCCTCTCCCCGCTGTATCTACTGTCCCTGTCTGCTGGCTCTCTGCATCCTGTTAATAGAAACAATTCCGCATCTTGAAAAAGGCCTACCCTAATCCCCACCTCACTCTCCAGCTTCGGTTCTATTTCCCTCTTTCCTTCCCAGTCAAACTTCATGGAAAGCTGTCTGGGTTTACTTCCTTCCCTCCCCCAACCCCTGTCCTCCCACACGGCTTCCAGTTCCACCTTGCAGGAGAAATCACCCTCAGGAATGAGATCCGTGGCCCCCTTTTCTCAAAACTGTTAGAACTTTTTGTGTCTTTTCATAATTCTTCTTGCCATGAGATATACTTTGTCACTCCCTCCCTGAAACTCTCTTCCTTTGTCTCACAGAGGGTTTCCATCCACCTGTACAGCCTTGCTTCTCCATTGGCTTGAGGCCTCTGTCTCCCTGCCCCAACCTTGACTGGCGATGCCCTCCCACTTCCTCTCTCGCTTTCCACGATCCTTCAGGCAGGGCCACCAGCCATCTGCTGATGAGCTTAGAATACATTTCTTTGAACCATAATTCTCAGCTTATCTCCAGGCACTTATTCCACTGTTTGAGGGACACCTCCTTTTTGAAGTCCTACAGTCCCCTCAACCTCAGTCTTTTCCTTCATGTGTGTCCCTCTTTATTGTAATCTCTACCCCAATGAATGGCCCTACCAGGAATGTGCGAGTCACCCAGTCTACCCTGCAGCACCCCTCAAAGCTGGCACCTCCTCTGCTTGCTTACAGCAAGGACTGCTTCTTTGCTTGACTCCTGGTTTGCTACAATGAACAGCATGACTCTCCTCCCCAGGCTGCTTGGCATGCCAGAATAAGCTTTATAATTCACAAAGCTGACCAGGATACTCCCCTGTTTAAAAGCCATCCATGCCTCCTGTGGCTTTTAGAATACTGTTCCAGTTCCTTTCGGGCCGTTTTCATTCAGACTCCTGCCCATTTTCCTGGCCCAGTGCCCACTCACTCCTCTACATTCCAGACACAGGGACTCCATGAAGCACTGGTGGGGTCTTGCTCGGTCACATCTCTCTGCTGCCTAATGTGCTGTTTCCCCTGCCTGACATACGCTTCTCTCCTTCTTTCCCTAAAACTCCTCAGAAAGCATCACCTCCAGGTTCCTATCCACCCTAATGTCCCCCATGGTCAATTTCCTATGCCCGCATACTGCCCTGGCTATGCCTTTTCCAAAGTGTGCATCTCATTCCATTTTAATTGCTGACTTGCAGATATGTCTCCTCTTTTTCTTTGGCACATGCAACAGTGGGTGAACTGTGCCTGGAGCATAATAAACAATAAATGTTTGGTGAATGAACAAATGAATGTTAACTGCATGAATGGATGGGATATTTTAACTATAGCACTTCAATGAGGTTTCCTCATTTCTTCGACAGATGCATCCTTTTATAAGACGTTGTTTGTTTTTAACTTTTCTTTTAGGTTTGGGGGTACATGTGAAGGTTTGTTACATAGGCAAACACATGTCATGGGGGTTTGTTAAATACATATTATTTAATCATGTAGGTATTAAGCCCGGAACCTGATAGTTATCTTTTCTGCTCCTCTCCCTCCTTCCACCCTCCTGCCTCACATAGGCCCCAGTGTCTATTGTCTCCTTCTTTGTGTTCATAAGTTCTCATCATTTACCTCCCACTTGTAAGTGAGAACATGTGGTATTTGGTTTTCTGTACCTGCATTAGTTTGCTAAGGTTAATAGCCTCCAGTTTCATCCATGATCCTGCAAAAGACACTACCTCATTCTTTTTTGTGGCTGCATAGTATTCCATGGTGTATATATGTGACATTTTCCTTATCCAATTGTGAATAGTGCTACAATGAAACATTGTTTTATACATTGTCTTGATGCTGCATTAAAGAGCTGGAGCCCATTGAAGTGCACACTGTTTATGCTTTCATTGTAGGATCTCATTGCTCCTTGTTTGGAGTTCTTGTGTCTACACTGCATTATTTTTTTAGGAATCCTCTCTCTCCCAGGCCAATGGTATCATCATCAATGTATCTCCCTTTAGCATGCTATCTCCAGCCCCCTACCACTCTACCACTTATGCAGAAAGATGGGATAAATGTGTTAGAATTGTGTTGTAAAACAAGAGTGAGAGCCTTGTGGGTCCTTTCAAGAGTAAAGTGCCCAATATTTATACTCAGATACCAATGGCGCCTCCCCAGAGAGAGAGCTGGTGGATGGCATTGACAGAGGCCGCTCTTCTTGCTAGTTGATCCCTCAACTATTGGGACCAAGAGTGCTTACCTAATCAAAGCTGGACCAATCAGATTTTTATCTCACAGGAATTTGAAGTTGGATTACCATTATATTAAGTCAGTTAGTTGCAGGGATCCAAGCTGCAGGCTCATGTAGATTTGGGAGCTGAGGCTGCCATTTGGGGAAAGCTATGATGATCAGGTGCAAAATGGATGAAAGAAACAAGAAAACCAGTCTACAAAGAGGAGAGAAGAGTGGAACTGATATTCAGAGAGAAGCAGACTGGAGAGACTGTCACCTGGGAGAAAGACAGAGAAAAGTCAGACTTGATCCCTGGCTCCCTCCATCCTGTTCCTATTTCTAGGACACCCAGCTGTGATTGTGATGACTGGGCTTCTCCAGAGTTCCTGGTATCATTCAATCAGCCTACCGTTTAGCAAAGCTAGTTGTACTCCATTTCTGTTCTTTGCAACTCACACTTCCTGAGACTATGGGAAGAACTGCAGTTTATTGTTTACTGTGTCTTAAGCCCTTACCACCATCAACTCTGTGGAGTTGATATGTTTGTCTCCATTTTACAGGAGGAACTGAGCCTCCTGTAAGTAAGGTAATTAAACTTACCCAAATCCATTCATGTGGTAGAGTGGAGCCTGGACCACGGATGTCTGTTTTCAGAAGCCATTCTTTATTCACTGTATCACGCTCTGGTCCTTGACTTTGTGACATCTATTTTGAGTTGTTGAGCTTCCAATTTATTGGCTGCCTTGTCAGATATATTAGCTCTTGAACAAAAATATATTTT